AGAGAGGGGAGAGATGGAGCCATTAACGCTACCCCATTGACCCCTTTGTCCCAGCAACCTCCTTCGAAGTCGCGTTGAAGTCGCATTGTTCATCTTCTTCGAAATCACGTGTTTCCCCATCGCAGTCAGTTTCCCCCACCGCAACAGACACCGAGACCTTCAGATTCTCCTTCGATTCGCGCTCTACTTCTTCTTCGTGCGCCAGCGTCAGCTTCCTCAATTGCAACAGTGGGCGAAACCCAAATCGATTCCTCCGTCGCGTCAGTTGCTACTCTCTTATCCCCGGCTGTAAATGTAAGTTGTTTCTTTGTTCTTTTCTGGTTATAAGGTAGTCTGAAGAGTCTTGAAAAGAGGAAGGGGCAGATGAAAGTGAAGAAGTGGTTGCATGTTTGGTTTTGGGACTCTCTGTTGGGGTTGTTTTATACTGAAAATTGGACTTTCCTGTTTGTTTCCCAACTCACCATTCCACGCGAGAACTACGGTGGGGCATGTGCGGGCACCAGATGCTATTCAGCTCCATTCTCTCGGCTTTCAGATTAATTTGGTCGAAAATGGGGAAGGGGAAGAGCTCTCGAGGAAGGAGAAGGGTTTTCGGGTCTACAAATGAAAACTGATCAGTTTTTTTTAAGTGGGCTCTGGTCTGGTTTCTGGGTCGGGTTGGGTTAATGGATTGGGTTGGGTTTATTATGTGGCGGGTTTAGTGACGTGGCGGGTCGGGTTTGATCATTTCCGGCCGAAAACGACGCTGACTAGGCGCTCATGGTAGCCACGTCAGGACATAACGGACTCTTTTAACCACTACAAGAAAATCGGGCTATAGAGTCAGTGTTTATTTGCGTCTAGAAGCCAGTTATTTGCTTCTGTATATCGTTTGAAGCAAATAAATTATTTGCATCGGACGCCTCTGTCTCTAATTCTCTTTAGAAGCAAATATAGATGCAAATAATATATGCTTCTAATTAAGGAATCTGAATCAAATCTTATTGATTGTAATTCCACTTTAAAGAAGATGTTTTTTCTCTTCTTATTTGATTTTAGAGAGAAATATTTTTGTTCCTATTTCTAGTTTTTTAGACAATTATAATTGTTTCTAGAACATCTTACCGAAGCAAATAATTGCATCGTGAGCAAATACTTTTGCTTCTATTTCAACTTTCACAATTTTGATTAATATTTTAAATTCTACTTCAATAGACAACTAAATTAACAATTCAAATTTTATTAATAACATTTTAATACATTTATTCTTAAAATACATGAAAGCATTGTCATAAATACGAAAAATACATAACAAATACATTATGTCTACAACATTTACAAAGCTAAATCACCACGCTAGTGACTCCGCTACAGCCTATCACCGACGGACCAAGACCAAATCCCGTCCAAGCACTGTTCTTCACCTTTCTTTCTTTGACCAAATCATTAAACAACCGCAAACAGAACAAATTCAATTGAGACCTGATAAAAAGGCTATGCCAAAACTGGGAAAATGGCTGAAAATGGCTAAGTCTGGGAACGTGTTTGTAAAGCCTACTTTGGAGCTCAATTCGAGAAGCATGGATGCGAGTCGAGTCCAAGGGCCTCTACCACGTTAAATTAGGTATATTTTTATACAAAGTCAAGGCATTGGATCAAATATTGGATATCTGTAAGGTTTCAAACAAAAGGGTCGAAGTTGCTACAAAAACTGTTTTTCTGGCAGACTTCGAGCACAAGCAAGCTGCCAGAAAAACAGCTTTCGTAGCAACTTCGACCCTTTTGTTTGAAGTCTTACAGATATCCAATCTTTCATCCAATGCCATGACCTTGTATAAAAACATACCTAATTTAACGTGGTATAGGCTCCTGGACTCTATTCGCATCCATGCTTCTCGAATTGAGTTCCAAAGTAGGTTTCACAAACACGTTCCCAGACTTGGCCATTTTCAGGCAGTTTCCCAGTTTTGGCATAGCCTTTTGATCAGGTTTAAAAATGGTGTTCTGGACTTCTTATTGAGCTCCCAAGTACTTTAATGTGTAAAGGGACACTTCAGCTTCAAAACAAGCCATTGATCTCCAATTTCCATCTAGCCAATTTTAAGATATGAATCTCCAAAGTAGGCACCATGAAATTGTTTTTTCACTGAAACAACAGATTAGGTCGACCTAATCCTATATAAGGTCGATCGAAAAGTGCATGTCACCGTAACAAAGTCATAACTATTAATCGCAACAAAATCAATACTACCATCGTCTTTCCAATTTATCGATAAAACTAGCCTTGTTCAAAATTTAAATTATTCTACAACGAAAAAATTAACTTAATAAATTCTACAAAAACGGGGAAAACCTCAACAAATGAAAAATAACTTAATTATGATGTCAAATGTTAATAAAGATAAAAACGATCCGCCCAAGCCCAAGCCCAAGCCCAACGACGGGGAAGAAGGTTAGTTAACTTAGGATGGTAGTCTAGTTTTATCTGACCGCTATAATAGGGAAAGAAGACTTCTACACCGAGTCGCTGCACTTGTTTTCTCTGGATTTCCCACCGAACTTTCTCACCGAGCATACAGATTCTCGTCTTCCTCCCGAAAAAATCAATGGCGACCCCGTCGTTCTCCTCCCTGGCCGCTAAGCGAACCCTCTTCCTCCTCTCCGCCATCTGTCTCCTCCTAGCACCTACCGCTCGCGCCACTGATGTCAAGTACTGCGGTTAGTCGTCAGTCAGTCTCTCTTGATTTCATCATCTCTCGTTCTTCGGTCCTTTCCCCCGCTATTTCCCCTGAAACATCAGCTATGGGATTCTACTAAGCATGCTACTTATTGCTTTCTTTTCAATCGTTCATGTAATCGATGGGTTTGATTGATGTGGGACGAATTGGTTCTGGGTGATGATCAATTTGCAGATGCCAAAGCCAACTATGCTGTGAAGGTTGAAGGAATCAAAATCACTCCTGATCCTGTGATTGCTGGCAAGCAGGCTACTTTCGCGATCTCAGCTTCCACTGGTACTCACTAAATCCTTTCCCTTAACTGATTCCCAGTAGTTTGTCTGCCGAAGTTCACCAGAAGTCTGGTTTAGGGGTTTTGACTACTTACTGGCCGTTGATTGCTTGATTTTGATGGTTTTCAACTTCAATTTGAGAATGGAAAGGAGCAAGAAATCTTCTTGATTGATATCCCATTCCATGTTAATCGCTGTGATTAGGTCTCTTTTATGTAATTGATTGGGAGCTCAGTTTTAGTAATTTGCTGCAGTGAAGAGGTTAGCTAATTTTCTATTTTGTGTTGATCTGACTTGAGCATCCTCTGTTTCTGCAACAGCTGAGGCTATCTCTGGTGGGGAAGTGTTGCTTGAGGTTTATCTGTTTGGCTTCTCAGTCCATTCAGAGACTAGAGACCTCTGCGAGGATATCGCGTGCCCTATTCCTGCTGGCGACTTCCTGCTCTCCCACTCCCAAAGTTTGCCCGGATTTACTCCACCAGTAAGTAACATTCCCTATTAGACTTTGCTTTTGGTTCTTCGAAACCTCTCAGTATTGTTCAACATTGTGGTGTCCATAGATGTAAGCATCCAAGTCCGCGAGGTCCATAAAATTGTCAATAGTGCTGTGTTACCACATTGTTTCCTTCCCAACCCACTGGATTACTAGAAAGTAGATCGGTATTAGTCTTGGGTCCATGAGGTCTCTTAGATCAGTTTACTTCATGCAATCTAAGTTTGACTAGGATGGCTCTTATCTTGCACAATAATTAGTTTTCATCATCAGTATTCAGTAGTGCACTAGTGTGTTACTCTCCCTCTCCTTGGGTTTCCCTGGCAGAACAGTGTGAATTTTAGAAGTTGAAATAATAGCATCTTCATGACACAAGGGTTGATGGAGAACCTTTATGTAAAACTTATGCATAGCATATTCAAGAAATGAAGCATCAAAATCTGCAACCCTCATTATCGAAACGGGTTCATCTGATCGACCGTTTGCTTGTTCTCCTTGCAGGGCTCCTACAATCTGAAGATGACGATAAAGAACAGTAAGCAGCAACAGCTGACTTGTGTCAGCTTCAATTTCAGCGTCAGCTGGTGGGCTTTGGTCGCCGACTACTGAGTTCCAGTTCGACGGCCAACCTTGAATTTGATGCATAGATGGCGCTCCATGTCTCGATCTGGACTTGACCTTTTATGAGCCAAATGTGATCTCTTTCAGGAGAGGCTTTCATGTGTTTGTTTATAAGACGAGATAGTTAACGATGCAACTGTTTTATGTTAAAGCACCTGTGAATGTTCGTGTTCGTTCTGTGTTTGTACCTTAGACGAAGAATTAGTGTTCCATTAGTAGCTCTATATGCGTTCGAATTATGTGTATCCAGACCTTCCCTGCAAATCTACAACCATACATGGGTGACTGATCCAACGGATGTGTGTTTTCTTAAGTAGATTGTTGGTGTCGGTATCTATGGATTTGAAATCGAATGGATGATCGATTTCACAAATCCGCAAGAGAAAAGTATTTCGTCGAACTCAAATCCGTGAGATCCATGAATTTTAAGTACATGAAATCCGGTATAATGAATGTGGTGAATTCTTGTTCATAAGAAAGATTGTAACCAATTCTTGATTCACAATCAAAATTCACTAGACATGCACTTTTTATCTTTTATGATAAGAGATTCCTGAGCCTAAACTATGGTTCAAACTTTTATGCATGATGAGATCTTTCATTTTGTTAAGTAAATGAGAAAAGTAATTCTCAACTCTAGTTACGAGTAATCTTATAGAATATAATGAAAAGCATATATCGAATAATCCGAACGAGCATTGTGAGATCGATGAAATAGCGAATTAAGTATTTAGACATTTTATCGATGAAACTGATATAAAAGGGAAATAAAATTCTTTTGACCATCAAGTAAGAAGTAAAAATATTAAGAGGAAACCAGGGTTATAATAATTTACCTTTTCAGGAATTTAAGCATACCAAAAATAGTCAGTCTTGGTCTTGGAAATCAATACAATACTGATCCAGCCGGGAATCAATTTTTCTGGCAAGCGGGATGGGAGCTGGAGGCCCAACCCACTGAAACACAAAGGCGGCCTTGGAAAACCAGCGTGTTCGCTGTCTCGTCATCGCCGATTCTCCTAGCAGTCGCTCGCTTCTCGCACTTTGTCTGTCCTCCATTCAACTCTCTGGATTAGGGAGCGGACTGAATTCTCAGAAAGAAGGGATCGGGTAAGAACAAAATCTCCTGCTAAAGCTCCTTATGTAGTGCTGAGTAAAGATTCACGCGGTGAGAATCTTGCATCATTGTCTTCCGAAGTTTACCTGCTTCATCAATTTGTCGCCCTCCTCGCTCTAGGGTTTTTTGTCTCTAGGGTTTCCGGAAGAATGTTGCTTTCTGGACTCCGTTGTTAGGGCATTGATTTTTAAGGGATAATTGTCATGCTTATGTTATTATTACTTTGTGGTGTGAGAGAATGGAACTTTCTATCCAGACTTTCTGCTCCTGAATCCGCTGTACGATGAAGTGCGAATGGTCTTTGCTGAGTAGATAAATTTTGGATTCTGAATGTCATATAGGTGTTGCGATCAACCTGCAAAGCGGGTTTTTTTTTGAGCTATGAGACGGCAGGGCCAGTATGCTGATTCTGGTGGTACTGGTTATGGTGGTGGTCAGATGCAGCAGCATACTTCTAGTCAGAGGGTTGAACAAGGGTCTGATCATTTCCAAGGACAACTGGAGGCCTTTACTCCTGAGAGAGAGACATCATATACTTCCTCGAAACCTGATGGACAGTGGCGATGGGTGAGGGACGAATCGAAGCCGGTAGCATCTCAGATGTTCAATGAAGGTACTTTGGTTACTGAATTTCACATGTGTAATGGGAGGAAAAAAAAACAATAAAGGAGATGATGGAACTGGAAGTTACATCTGCAGTAGCATATAATTTGAGCAAGACCTTTCAGTGCAATCCATTTCCTTGTTGCTGATTCTTTCTACTTACGGTCCTTGTGTCGTGTGTTGATACAGGTCAAGTGGTTGATGCATCAAGGACTTATATTCAGGGGAAAAGGCCAGAGTCCCATGTGGGTCTAGAGCAACAAGGGAACGTTGGTCCTAGAGCTCGATCGCGCGAGGAAGATATGCAGAGCTCTTATGAGGACAAACCACGTTTGCAAACTTTTGAAGGCCTTGAGCAGAAATTCATTGATGACATCATGAAATTAGCCAAGGAGCAGAGTGATGCTGAGGATGCAGAGATTTCCAGACACAGAGAGGTTAGCTTCTATTTACCATACAATTATTGGATGACGTGTGATGATATTTAAACATGGTCATGAACATGAACATCTGTATATTGGACTAGGTGAATGAAAAGCAGCATGAATCCTCAAAACTAGAACGATACTGGGTACCAACCTAAGATTTTTACCTGATGTAGTATTCACGTTGTTGATCAGGAGCCCATGAAACAATATCTTTTCTTGTGGAAATGAAAATGTTGACACATTCTTATCCCCCTAATCTTAGCACACGCTCATCTTCTAGCGGGTTTAGGTTTGTGTTTGGGATCCGTGGTGAGGTGTTGTAAATCTGGAAATTACATCTATCTTAGGGTTTGCCAAAATTGGTACGTTTATGAGTACAAGGAGATTATTAACTTCAACTCATTTCCCTTTATTCCGTGTTTCAGAAAATAAAATCCATAAACGACCGGCATCAGGAACAACTATCAGCACTTCGAGCTAGGCACGCAAGTCGAAGAGAAGAACTGCTTCGGAAGGAGTCACAAGTACGACAACACCGATATCAGCAGGCAATGATGGATCATTACCCAAACAACAACAACAGCATGGCTCCTGGAGAATCCCTTGGCTATAGCGCTTCACGTGCAGGCTCAGCATCTATCAATGAAGCTCAGCAAGCTAATTACAGTGGCAGCCCTTTCGACTCTTACCAGGAGAAGGCTCGTTTCCTCGGCAGTAACGCAAGGGATCAAGGATACGGGACCAGAGGCCAATACCCTGCAGGGGGACGTGTGTATGATTCAGGCACACGCTACTATTGATCGGTTCACTTCCTCATCTCATCCGTGGTGCCAGGTTAAAATATAGCCTTCAGTTTGTAGGCTCTGCTTATATGCTAACATATCTATGTTACTCTTGCTAGCTACTTTCCCCCCTTGCTTCTGTCCTTGTGGCATTGTTGCCCTCTTGCCGTTTCATTGTGTTATTATACATGACCTTAAACTCCACTTATGAAAAACCCAGTTTAGTGAAAAAAACAATATAAATTAGTTTGTTAATTGCGTCTTCTTCTGTTGATGCATCGATCGAGGCCTTCTCAGTACAATGAAACGCTCTCACATTCTTATTCTCCTTCTCCTTCCTAACCTTAGTAAACGTACATTTTAACTTTGAATCACGAAACAGGCTTCTGCAGGTTTCGATTTACCACTGATAATCTCCACCCAGCAACGACTTCTCTTCTTCCTCGATCCGTCCGAGCCCGATCCCAATATTGACCACCTGACGTTTCCTCGCAAACCTGCCGGCCGAATACTTGATCTTGTTGTCGGCCAAATCCTGACGGCCAGGCACCTTGTCCGCCGCGGCGACGACGAGCCCCCTCTGCTCTTCCCAGTAGCTGTTGCTGCTGTGTTTCGCCGGTCGGCCGAAGCTGTAGACACGAGGGAAAGAGCCCAAGCTTGGAGGGCAGCCGCCGATGGGCGGGATTGCTTGGGTCTGGACCTTGTCGCTCAATTCAGAAATCCTGGTCACGTAGTAGTTCCTGCTCGCCGTCAGCAGCCTCGACAGCGCTCTCCGGAGCTTCCCTGCTCTGCTTTCCGCGGTTCCTCTGTCCGCCATTGCTGTCATTGTTGAGGAGAAACAGGGGAAGGGATTAGGGGTGCTTGATTTCGGCGAGTTGGATTTCTGCAAGGCAACGGAATGGTGTCGACAGGTTTTAAGGGGAAGTGCAAAGATCAAATCTTTGCCGAACACACCTGAATTATAAAAAAAAAAAGTGAGATGGATACAAGGAGGAGCGCACGACGATTCGGATAAAGAGCGATATCAGGCGGGGAAGTGCAAGATCGAATCTTTTCTTCTTTAGCGCGTGTGACAATTTGAATATAAGCAGAGAAAAACGAAAGAAACAAAACAGTTCACCTGTAAAATCAATATATCATTAACGCAAGGAATCACTTCCTGCAGGAGGTTCAAAAGTTTAACGAACTATTTTCTAACCATTCTTTTCCAACCATTCGAGTTATTGTGACCAAGTGGTTAGTTTGCTAATATGTTATTAGAGTCTAGAACTGAAAGGTCATGATTCATAACGACCTTCATTTTATACCATTCCTTTAGCACAAGAGACGGTATGTCCAACCCGTGCAAACTAAAGCCTCGTGATTTAGCAGTATAACTGCATAAGGGTTCAAACTGTACAAATCCGTACAATTCGGCATCGGCTTTCGTTTGAGGGGGCGTGTAACAGATCAAACATATATGGTAATTCGAGTTATTGGGACCAAGTAGTTAGTTCGCTAACACTTCCTCGTCTCCTACCTTACTCTTGCTAGCTTCTTAGCTCATGTAAAACCAGTTTTTTAAGTGTTGTAGTTTTTGTTTCCAAATGTCTTTTATATTATAAATTGAATTTATACATTTAATGTTATGGTACAATACAAATTCAACTTGTAGTCTTACATTTTCGTACAAAACCTTTATGCTATAAATTGAACTTGTACATGCTACGACATAAATTGAATTTGTACATATACTCTTTCTTTGGTGTTTTGAGTTTTGACTAACTCCAGCCGTATTTTGACAAAGTGTTGACAAATTTGGCGATTTTCTGGCAAAATCTTACACAAATTGTAGGTTTCAGGCGGACGAAACCTAAAAGGACTAGCTGATTTTTTCAACTTATAACTATATCAATTTATACAAAAACATTTTATCATACAAAATGAACCGATATTTTTACCATTACGATACAAACTAGAAGTACCATTCCTTCCAAGCACAGCAATTGAGCCGTAACATAAATTATATACTGCCTGGACGTTACACATGGATTGGATGGAGCAATATTATCCGTTCTTAAAATGTTACCGGCCGCCTTCATCTTCTAGCCTTTGTCTTGCCAAATCTAGTTGTCCTCCAACTCTACCAACCATCGTGGCTTCCTGATATATAGTCGATATACAATACAGATGTTATTATTATTATAGAGATTAATTATTGTTATTACCTAATTAATAACTTGCTAATTAGAAGATGGCCGAGTTATAGTAGAACAACAATTATACTAAAAAACTAATAACCATATTAAACCGACAACAATTAATGCGCAAGACTCTCTATAAATAATAACCCCTATAATCGGGTTAGGGTTAGCAGCCGTTGCATATTCTCTTTTGTTTTTTCTCTTCCAAAGTTCAGCAGCAGCAAGCAGAATAGGAGAAAACGAACGGAAGGAGAAGAAGAAAGAAACCATGAAGTACGTCGTCGTGACCGGCGGCGGGATGAGCGGGCTCGGCAAAGGCGTCACCTCCAGCAGCGTCGGCGTCCTCCTCCAGGCCTGCGGGCTCCGCGTCACCTGCATCAAGATCGACCCTTACCTCAACATCGACGCCGGCACCATGTCCCCCTTCGAGCACGGCGAGGTCTTCGTCCTCCAAGACGGCGGCGAGGCCGACCTCGACCTCGGCAACTACGAGCGCTTCCTCGACGTCACGCTCACAAGCGACAACAACATCACCACCGGCAAGATCAACCGGACCGTCATGGAAAAAGAACGCAGGGGAGCCTATCTAGGAAAGACCGTACAGGTATTCAAAATCTACGTTTTAAATTTCAAAAGCTTACGTTTACGTTTATTATCGTAGTCAAAATCTACGCTTTAAAGTTTAAAACCTTATGTTTCTACGTATAATCACAATTTCGTAGAATCGCTCTCTTCACTTACAATTTTAGTCAAAATCTGCGCTTTAAAATTTAAAACCTACCTTATGTTTCGACGTATAATCACAATTTTTGACTGCATTGGCAGGTGGTCCCCCACGTGACGGATGAAATCCAGGATTGGATCCAGCGCGTGGCCCACGCGCCCGTCGACGGGAAGGAAGGTCCTCCCGACGTCTGCGTGATCGAGCTGGGCGGGACCGTCGGCGACATAGAGTCCTGCCCGTTCGTCGAGGCGCTGGCCGAGCTCTCGTATCGAGTCGGGGACTTCTGCCTGATCCACGTCAGCCACGTCCCCGTCCTGAGCGCCGTCGGCGAGCAGAAAACGAAACCGACTCAGCACAGCGTCCGGACGCTGAGGAGCCTAGGGCTGGCTCCGAACATCCTGGCGTGTCGGAGTAACTCCCCGCTCGAGGGTTACGCGCGGGAGAAGCTGGCGCGGTCGTGCCACGTGTCTTCCGGGAACGTGCTGAGCTTGCACGACGTCGGGAAGAACGTGTGGCGCGTGCCGATTCTGCTGAGGGATCAGAAGGCTCACGAGGCCGTGCTGAGGGTTTTGAATTTGGATGTGAAGGAGCCTGATTTGAAGGAGTGGACGGCTAGGGCTGAGCTTTTTGACGCGTTGGTCGAACCGGTTCGAATCGCTTTGGTTGGGAAGTATATGGGTCTAACCCGTATTAATAAGGATGCCTATTTTTCCGTTGAGAAGGCGCTCATGCATGCATCGGTTGCTCTCCGGAAGAAGCTCGCCGTCGATTGGGTTCCCGCTGAGGATCTCGAAGATGGAACCGCACAAGAGGTGATCGTTAGAAAGTTATGTGTTTTCATAATTAATCAGATCGCTCGGACTAAACAGGAAAAGTTAGTGATTCATAGTTTGAAGTTTAAACGGTCTAAAAAAAGTACAACTTATTTATTAAATTAAGTCTGTAACAGGGTGATAAGTGACAATGAATCATATATACATTTTACATCACTGACAAGGCTTTTCCTTCCAACTTTTTTTCGCAGAACCCTAATGCTTACAAAGCTGCATGGAACAAGCTCAAGGGAGCGGACGGGATTCTGGTTCCCGGAGGATTCGGCGACAGAGGCGTGGAGGGCAAAATCCTCGCCGCAAAACACGCCCGGGAGAACCGGATCCCTTACCTCGGCATCTGCCTGGGGATGCAGGTCGCCGTCATCGAGTTCGCGAGATCGGTCCTCCTCGACATGCAAGACGCCAACAGCACGGAGTTCGACGCCGAGACGAAGAACCCGTGCGTGGTGTTCATGCCGGAAGGATCGAGGACCCACATGGGCGGCACCATGCGGCTAGGGTCAAGAAGGACCTACTTCCACCATGACAACCACGTGGGCTGCATGGCCGCGAGGTTGTATGGGAACGTGAGTTACGTGGACGAGAGGCACAGGCACAGGTACGAGGTGAATCCGGAGATGGTGGCGCGGTTTGAGGAGGCAGGGCTTTGGTTTAGTGGGAGGGACGAGAGCGGGGAGCGGATGGAGATTGTGGAGCTGGGGGAGCATCCGTTTTACGTTGGCGTGCAGTTTCATCCGGAGTTTAAGTCGAGGCCGGGGAAGCCTTCTCCGGTGTTCACAGGTGGAAAAAAAAACTCGGATCTTAATTAATTAACCGCCCAAATCGATCGTTTGAGTTGTGTGTTTGATAAAACAAACGAATTATGCCATCTCTTGATTGATTGTGTAGGTCTGATAGCAGCAGCGTGTGGACAGCTGGAGAGTGTGTTGCAACAAAGCCACGGGGAAAGCAATGGGTTCGAGAAAACCGATGGAGTTGGAAAGGTCGTTGAAAAGTAAGTGTTGGCGCCAAAATGGACATGTCACTAATTAACGCGGGTTGTTTGATCGGATGAGGTTTAGAAAATCAGGAGTTTTGGCAAATTTTTTGGATTTTAAGATTGGAGGATTGTGTTGGATTTTGTTATTTCAGGGTTTGGGTTGGATTTCGGAAGTTAGTAGTTTAACAAGCAAACACTCAATCGCTATTATTAACATATATCCATCCAACATTTAAGGAATAATATATGAGGTAAATAAAAAAATGGTACTTGAAATAAATGAATTACTCACATTAATAATAACACATCTATTTATCTTATTTTTTAATCTCAAAGATAAATTTTATCATGTTGTTGCATTAATAGTAGCTCTACCAGTTCAATGGGTCCGCTAAACGATGAATTGATCAATCTGTCAAGCCTCACAACATTTCTTACTTATGAGTAGGGGTGGCAATACGGTCCGGTCCGGTTAAATTGGCCCGAATTAATCCAGTCCAGTCCGGTCTTTTTGGAAATATTGGGACCAAAACTTGGATTGGGTACAGTCTAGTTTTGACCCGGTCCGGTTTTGACCCAGTCCGGTCCCAATCCGGTTTTGACCTGTTTTGACCATGTTGCAAAAAATTCAGCAACATATACCCATTTTCCTGGAATGTAGACAACCTGTTTGTAG